AATATATCAATGATTCAATATAGTAATGTAATAATTAAAAAGGTTTAAAAATGTTATAAAAAAATCAAGTTAATATTGTATATATTGTTGCTCTTGTGCATATCATGTATTAGTTTTCTTTTGAAGTAATTTTAAAATATAGCTTTTGGTATAACCGATAATGGGCATTTGTAGTATTATATTATAGTTAAAGGAAAGCGTTTATGTGCAAGTGATTTTATTCGATTAAGCTAATAAAGTGAGGTTGGGGCATAGTGGTGATGGGGAGGGAACAGGTCTATAGGAATTCTTACAACTGAAATTGATAAAATCACTTTTAAATAAACGCTTCGATGCAAATCTGTGGATAGTAGCCAATAGGTTTAAGCCAGTACAGTCCAAGCCAAGCACAATATCAACTAGTTCAGAAAGAAAGTATTGTACTTAATTAAGTACTAGGAGCAAGTAGTGGTAAGTAAGTAAATAAGGGAAGTCCAGTGTTCACAGATAATACATAAACATCGATAAAATAAAATATGTACCACCCAATGACAATTATGTGCTTAAAAATTGATTTTAGTATAAGGGTGAATACGATTAGGGTTGATGTTCAGTTGAACATTTTATGCTCATCAGTCATCACTATATTCTTTAATATGCACTAGTAAATTGATAAAGGCAATTGTTATTGTTGTTGAAATAAAATGCCAATAACTCTGTGTTTTTGTTTTAAATTGACACAATATTATTCTTTAATTTAGTAGTGTTATGAAAATAAATATATATTTTATTGTACCGTTTCAAAATTCATTATTTATGTCTTGTTGTCAGTAAATGTTGTATTTTATTTTTGTGAAATAGATTAAAAATGTAATTTCTTCCGTAACAGTTGTTTTGTTTTCTTTCAGTATATTCTAGGAATATGTCTTAAGATTATGCCTGCAATGATATTTTTAAATTCATGTCAAAGTATTTTAAATATTTTATTATTAATTATAATACTTCAACGGTCGAACACACGTATGTTTTTGTATCTCTAGTTAGAAGGGATTTCAAAAGTATTTTTATACGATTTATTTCAAATCATATTGCGTTTATAAGGGAACAAATTTCATACAAGCTTTTAAGATTTTTGGTTACACAAAAATGTACAAGCCTTCTTAGTATATGCTGGAAGGTTTGCACGACTTTCAAATTCGGATACCACAGGACCATACAGGTCTAATAGTAGATTTATAATTTAGAACTGTACTGCCCTCCTAAACAAAAATTCCGTAACTGGAAAAAAAAAATTAAAAATACGTTTAAACAAAGTAAAATGGTTTCTTACTTGGTTTAATCGGTTTAAAAAAAAAAAAAAATTTTCGAATTACGACATTTTTGCTTAGGAGGGCAGTATATGGTTAAGGTATATTTTAGTTTCGATGATAGGTCTAAGTTAATGAAGACGAAAATGATTAGCTTGTTTGCAGTTATACTTAGTATGGTGAATTAATGAGCTGTTAAGGATGATATTTTGGTATTCTGTAGATTGTTGGGCCAGGATAGATTTATTATTAATTTGAATTTCGGCCACATTTCTTGTGACTAAAATTAACCTGAACAGACTACACTTTATTGATTTTTGTTTTCCATTTATTTACCCAAAAGTATATTATATTGAGGTGAGGCTGGAGAAGTTTGGTCACGGTAGATGGGTCTAACTATCCTTGCATTAAAAAAAATGTACACTCTAAATTCTGGGCGTTTCTGTTAAGATGTTATTTTTATTTAAAATTCATGCTATGTGAAACTATTTTTTTATTCTTGTTGCATTAAAACTTTTTGTGTTATGCTAGAAATCTGAATAATTTCACTAAATATTGGTTTTTGACTTGGGGTAGAGGAATTATTATTATTATTTTTTTTTTTACTTTGGAATTTTGTATACCAAATCGCTAATGTACGTATGATTAGTAGGTATAAACATAAAACTAGCATTTTTAATTTTAGTTGAATTTTCTGTGCTGTACAAAAGCCACCGCTTGTTTATATTAAATACAGTAGGTACTTTTTACAATAATTGCTGCAATGTAAACAAATGACAAATACGTGCTGAGATCATACATTGTGTATTCTGCTTGTATGCGTCATAGTATACTTAATCATCAATAATGTATTATAAAACTATAAAAAAATTGTTTGTAAAATATAACTGATCTTATAATGTTAAAACATAATGTCAATAAATGCAAGGCCAGGCACAACATTTTATTCGCTAAAAATAACTTATTTTTGATAAAAAAAACAATAATGAAACTATAATATTAATTGTATTTCAAAAACATGACAATATTTATGATGTTTAAACTTAAAAGTTTGCGTTTCCTAAATGTATCTGTCATAATTTTACATTGTAATAGCCAAAGTGAAAAAAAAATGATTACATTTTTTATTTTTATTGCAACTTTCCAAAATGGCATCGAGCCTAGTTTAATAATTTTACTGTTGTACTCAAAAATTAGGTTGACTACAATGTAACACATCTCCAGGTCATATCCTAAAACACATTTTATATTGTTCTTTAAAGGATGTTTTGTATTCTACTTAACACATTTCTGTACAGCTATGCTTATATTTTCCAATCTCCTAATATCTTATTCCATATAATCTACTATGTTTAAACAATATTTTAAACTGTATTTAAATTCAATAAAGTCATTTCTATCCGCTATTATTATATTAACACCAGGGCTCAACCTTGAGATGGCGCAGCAATCTAAGACAGCAGGCCAAAAAAAAAAAAATACTTGGAATTAAAAAATGATGTTAAGTTAAAGTGTAGTTAATAGTGTGGGCCTTAATCCATAATTGGGTATTTTTCAGCTGCAAATACCACCGGCTATACGACTTATGCAATACAGGTAGTATGTAACCGAATGAATTCATTAATGCCGTATGATAGTGAAAATTATAGCAGCACATTACTTGAAACCTTAGTGCAAACTATTAATATTTCAATAAATATATTGTAACGTTATTGCGGTTAGCAAGACTATAGACGTGCATTTTAACTTAATAAAATAACTTTTGTCGAATTATACATTATTAACTTACAACTGCAAAAGTTTTTTACACGCCTGAAAAACCATAATTTTTGGTTATTTAAATAAACATCTACGCAGTGCTTCTTGTTTTCCGACAAAACACAAAAATATCGAACTTAACAATAATATTATACGCATTGAAATCGTATCGTGGAAGTTGTTTAAACATTTATTTTTTCGACAACAAAAACATTACACGAAATAAGTTAATTTTAAGTTTTTAGCCGACGCAGTTCTTATTGTTGTACAATACATATTCTACTGGTTTCGTTACATCAGGTCCAAAACAGGGGGGAAAAAATTGGAGCGACGTCTTATCAAAATGACATCTTTATTAATTATCCAGGTAATAATATTTTGCACTATTTTTTCATTTCCATACGCTAAGCTAATGAAAGATAAAATTATAAGCCAAAACGAATTAAACAGAATACCCGGCTTGGATATTCTCAAAGATATTACCAAATGGAATGACAACAACTACACGTCTCTTACTAAAATATTCGGTCCAGACCCAAAAGAATGGCTTGGCGACTTCCAAGTTGTAGCCAATACATCTTATATTGCGCTGTGTTGTTTGTACTCGTTGAAAATAATTAATTTCATACGCACGGCAGAAAGTGATTTCGCCAAATGTGATAAGTTCCGAAACGACCAAACGACAAATCCTACTGAAGTTTGGGACGATTCTCCCAAATTTTTTACTTGCTGGTTCGACACAGCGATACAATTGACATCGTTGCGAGCTATTAGTATTGACATGTTAACGACGGCGTTGAATTATACGAACAAATTCGAAATACGAGCCAATAAAAATGTGTCGAATGCGATCATGTCGTTTTACTTATTTTTGAACAGTGTCCAAATCAATATGGAGCCATACGCTGCGTCAAACCAACCAATAAATATCGTCGAAAATGTTACCGAAAAATTTGCTCGGATGAAGTTATATACGCGATACTTGATTGAGACTTTTGCAATTCTAAACTGTACTTGGTCTGCATTTGATGTCGGCCAGTTAAACCAAATTGACGGTTATGATAAAATAATTGTCAACGAATTGAGCGTACCAGAAACTTACTACAACCGTCGCGATTTCGATCTGCAAACCCTATTGTTGGCCAATGTTACAGGCGTCCGTTTAGATCCCGTCGCCGACAGTAGTAAAGTAGGACACATAATTGTTGAACCCTGCACTTGGTGGGAAAATGAATATTACGCACGTTACGAAAACGAATTACGTTCAGAAATCTTTATAAAAAGCCAGACAGTAGTATTCCAGAGCATAGCTTTGACGATTTTGTATTTAATCAGTCAAATAATCGAAAAGTCGGTAACGAACAAAGCTTCGAAAGTTTTTAATAAGATTAAAAAAATCGGAAATTCCGCTATGGATAGGCCAACAAATAGTTTATATTCAGAAACGTGTGTAAACGATGCCATAAATATTTTACAACATTTCAATTTTCCTGGATTGTTACAAGTAAAATTGAGAAAAGTGTTGTATCAGAAGACCATTAATTCCAAAAACGATAAAGCGTTTAAAAATCTCTTTACGGGTACACAGTTTGATAGTTTTGAAATTAACAAAAAAATTGGACGCTTACCAGAGAAGAAAGATATAAAAAGCGTTTTAATAGAAGCATTAGAGCGATTTACAAACGAATTAATAACCATGAAAGATGTGATAAAAAAAGTCAGAGACATAAATCAAAATATGTGTGATTATGAACATGAAGAAGTGGGCTTTTTGCAATATGACAGTTCTATGATGATGCCTAATTCAATTAGCACATGTCCAGTTTGTAGTCTAACACACGAAACGCAAGTAATCCCAATTTTGCAATCTTTAAAAGAAAATAATTGCCAGTTTTCTTATGTTATTGTTGTTAATTTTATATTAATTGATTTTATAATATTACAGTGCGAAGTGATTTTATATGATGTAAATAATTTGAATATGGTTACGTTATTAGGATCATGTTTTGACTCAATAATCAAATCTATCAGATCAATAGGAAAAACGATGGATCATACGTTGGTTGCTATGATAAACGTATTGATATCGACTAGGCCACATAACAATGCCAACCGCAAAGTTATTGACGCAATTCTAGCAATGAAACTATATCTTAGCAATGGAAATATTCTTAATAGCGCGGTACCGCTAACGGAACAAGAATCCGTAGACGTGAATTTGGTGGTTTCTAAATTGGATATGTTTAAAAGGTATAATCGTTTTATCACAACCCAAATTGAACATTACACGTTACATAGCTGCACGACACCATCACCTCGCGTGTATTTTGCAAAAGATACTATGGGTAAGATAAATAAACAATGTAGCGGCTTTTTAGACGGAAATGGCATAATGAAGCTCATAAAATGTGTTGAGGTTATCATTGACGATAATTTAGAAAAATATGAACCACTCGAATCCCAAATAAAAAGAAATCATTTTACAATTGACAATTTGTTAATGAAGGATATTTTAGAAAAGGCTTCGAATAATAATAACAGTTTATCGATACTGTATGAACTGAAATTTTCGTGGGAAGGCGATTACAAAAGATTAAATGAAATTGTCGGATTCGTGAAAAATCAGATCAACCCAAAATACCTTTGTAAATATCAACTGACCATGATAAAAGCCATTTTCTTTATAGCCTATGAAATAATAAAAACAATTATTCAAACTAGTAACACAAACAACAATAGAGTGCTCTATTGTAATAACATAGATACAATACTAGAAGCATTATATAGTTCATCTTGTACAATTTTCCCGTTAAGAATAACCGAAATGTATGAAATGATTGTTGAATATTTTGAAGAATACATACAAGGTGATGTTTCGATTAATAAAAATGCACTCGTTCGTATAATTAAAGTAGAACAATATTATTTGGGAATGCATAAAGAATCGTCTGATATAATAGATGATGAAATCGTGCAATCAATTCCAGATGATACATTAGGATCCATTGGACCGAAAAGGGATATAGATAGAAATGATGGTCAAGAAAATATAAACCAATTACTATTGTTTTCGGATGCTGTTAAGGATATTTGGACCAATCTGACAAACGTTGCGCTCATATTGGATTTAAAACGAATGAGTGACTTAGAAGTCTAATAGTTTGCATATTGTAGGAAGAATAAAAACCTGTTATTACTTTTAATACATCATAGACTCATTATTATTCTATATTAGTATAAAACTGTTAAAAAGTTAAGTAAATGTTACATAATCCAGTCTTTTGCAAATAAACATATTTATTTTACTGTTTCAAATTACATTTTGTTTTTATTTTATTTTGTAGATAATAATATGATCTTGCATATTTTTCAAATTTATAACAAAACTTTATAGCGGTCAATTACATTAAAAAAGATTAATTCCCAACGGCTTCCCAAAATTATAGCTTTTGTTGACGAGATATTGCCTCTTCTTTATTTATAATCACATATAGAAACTAAAAATGGCTAAAATCAAATGTATTATTTAAAAATGTTTTTTTGATGGATTGAACATTCCTATGTAGATATACAGTATTAAGATTTGATTTATAAATCGAATACAGTAAAGCCGGGGAAAAACTACTGATCATTCTTAACTGAAAGTTCACTAAAGACAAAATCCTAAATGATCTTACTCTATTCAATTACCTAAAATATATACTATATATTTAGAACATTTAATAATTTCTAATAACATCAGACAAACATATTAAATTAATAAAATTAAAAAAAATCAACGAAGTATGTTAACTTAGAGAGTTATTAGTATGGTAAGGACTACATTTATTAGCGAGGGTGCAAGAATAGATGCAATATAAGATGCAATAACAGAGGACATTTTTGGAGCGAAATCTTAACAAAATGACATCTTTGTTAATTATCCAGATAATGTTATGTAATACTTTTTCACTTCCATCTGCTAAGTTAATGAAGGATAAAGACAACAAATTAACTAAAATACCCGGCTTGGATATTCTCAAAGATGTAAACATATGTAAAAACAACGAAATCACATCTCTTGAAAAAACGTTCGGTCCAACTCCAACATTTTGGAGTGGCGATTTCCACGTTATAGCCGACATGTCTTATACTGCGTTTTGCTGTTTGTATTCGTCGAAAGTAATTCATTTCATACGGACGGTAGAAAATTCTATCATCAAATGTGATAAGTTGGAAAATGAACAACCAGCAAAGTTCAACGAATGCTAGCGCGTTATAAAGTCGCAATTGACATCGCATCGAGCTATAAGTGTTGACATGTTAATGACAGCGTTGAATTATACAATAACATTCAATAAACGAGCCAACAAAACTGTATTAAACGCGATTATGTCGTTTAACTTATTTGTGAACAAACGAATGAATCGGCGTACGGTAAGTTAAGCGAACCAATAAGTAACGTCGAAAATCTGATAAAAAAATTCTTAGGCATGAAGTTATATACGCCATACTTGATCGAGACATTTACAGTACTAAACTGTTCTTGGTCCGATTTTGAAGTCGATCAGTTAAACGAAACACACAGTTATGATAACATAAATCTTAACAGATTGCATTTACCAGAAATGCATATTAATCACAATCACTTTAATCTGCAAACCCTATTGTTAGCCGGTGTTTCAGGCTTTCAATTACGTCCTGTCACCGATAACAGTGAAGTATCCCAGAGCATAGCTTTAACATTTTTTTATTTGATTAGAAGAATAGAGAATACTTCCGCAATACGTAGATTTTTTATTGACTTAAAAACAAAATAGAGTATAAATGATGCCATAAACATTTTAAAACATTTCAATTTGTCTGGATTTTTAAACGTAAAATTGAGAAAAGTGTTATATCAGAAAATAATTACTCCCAAAAAACTTAAAGCGTTTAAAAATCTTTTTACTGGTTCACAGTTTAACAATATTGAAATTCAAAACAAGATAGGGTATATACCCAATAAAAAAAAAAACAAAAAACATAAGAGCTTTAAAACAATCGTTGGACAAATTTACAAACGAATTAAAAGACAAAGAGTCTTCCATAAAAGCAATTAGAGATATTAATCGACAATTGTGCGACTATGAATATGGAGAAGTAGGGTTTTTGCAAAATGAAAGTTCAGCCTAAAAGATTTAACATTGCGTTGTACAGATTGTACAAAAACACGTGCAATGCAAGTAGTCCGATTCTTGAAATCATTAAAAAAAACTACTTGTCATTTTTCAAACGTAATTGTTATTCATTTTAATGTTAATGATTTTTGAATATTTTAAAGATTACTTTCAAAGTGATGCTTCGATTAATAAAAATGCACTCATTTGTGTAATTAAAATGGAACAATATTATTTGGGAATGAAAAAAGAATCATCTAATACAATAGTTGATGAAATAGTGCAATCAATTCCAGATGATACATTTATGCACTCCGGTGGAAAAATGACTGTATCGTCTGGACTTGAATTAGATATCGATAATGGTCCAAAAAATAAAAATTAATTACTATCGTATTCGGCGGCTGTTAAGGAAATTTGGATTAGTCTGACAAAAGTGGCGCTCGTGTTGGATTTAAAACGAATGAGTGACATAGAGGTCTAATATTTGTATATAATTGTAAGTAAAAAAAAATCTGTTATTTCTTTGAATACATCATAGACTCGATATAACTCTATATAAAAATTTTAAAATATTATGTAATCTAATATTTTTTGTTTGCATATAAATATATTTATTGTAGTGTTTCAAATTACATTAAGGTATTGTTATCATGTAATCAGCCAAAGTTGTATTTCATTTTTTGCATAATAGATTAAAAATATAGTTATGGTGTAACGGTTGTTTACTTTTCTTTCAGTAAATTCTAGGGTATTGTCTTAAGACCATGCCAGTCATTCAGGTCAGTGTATTTTAAATATTTACTTTGTGTATTATGTGAACGGTATAACACTTGTATATGTACCTCAATTCAGAAGCGACTTCTAAGGTTATTATCAAATCATGTTACATTTTTAAGGTAATTTATTACATATAAGGTTTTAAGATTTTGGTTAGCCTGGCAGTAAACGGCCCTAAAACCTAGGGTTAGTACATTCGCGGTTAGTACATTGTACATAACGTTATAAAACGCTACATTTGCAGATTACATACATATTACATTATGCAGAAAAATCATGCTTTGTGAAACTTATTTTTTTTTTGTTGCATCAAAACGTTTTGTGTTATGTTGGAAAATCTGAATAATTTAACTAAATATTGATTTTTGACTTGGGATGGAAGAATTATTAAATATTTTTTATACTTAAGGTTTTTGTACAACAAGACGCTAATGTACATTTGATTAGTAGGTTAATCATAAAACTAGCGTTTTTAATATTTAGTTAAATTTGCAGTATTGTACAAAAGCCAATAATACGCCTCTTTACGTTAAATACAGTACTTACATACATTTTTAAGTTTTAACATTATAAGACCAGTTATGTATTCAAGATAATGTATCGGCTCTTATAGATTTTTTTTAAAAAACTAAGGCTTTTTTGAACATATTTCAATATTATATGATTTTTAAAATAATACATCTTGTTATTTCCCTAACATGCAAAATATACAACCGCTAACATTTTTCACAAGCCTGAAAAACCGTTTTTTTTATTTATTTAAAAGTATACTTACGTAGTGATTTTGTTTTCCGACCATATATTATGAAAATATTTAACACACATTGAAATCGATTTTTGGAAGTTGTTTAAACAGGTATTTTTTCAACAAGTGTATTAAACATGGCAAGTAGTAGCTTGAATTTAAGTTTTTAGTCGAGAGTATACATCAACCATATACAGGGGAAAAAATTGGAGTGACGTTTTATCAAAATGGCGTCTCCATTAATTACACAGGTAATTATATTTTGCACTATTTTTTCATTTCCATCTGCTAAGTCCATGAAAGATGAAGTTATGAGCCACGACGGATTAGATAAAATACCCGGTTTGGAAATTCTCAAAGATGTTACCATACGGAAAGACAACAAAGAAACATCTCTCAGCATAATGTTCGGTCCAGACCCAGAGAAATGGAGTGTCGACTTTCAAGTTATAGCTGATATGTCTTTTACTGCGTTGTGCTGTATGTGTTCTTCGAAAATAATTGATACCATACGAACAGCGGAAAATGATTTTGACAAATGCGGTAAGTTCCGAAACACATCACTAAGTAAGCATATTAAAGATTGGTCACACATACACAACTTTATCAAATGCTCTGATGCTGTAAAGTTGCAATTAAAAGCATCGCGACTTATTAGTGTTAAAATGTTAACGACAGCATTGAATTATACGAAAATATTCAATATACGACCCAACAAAAACGTGTTGAACGCGATCATGTCTTTTTACTTATTTGTAAATAGTATCAAAACCGAAAAGTCTGAGTACGCCACGTCAGTCGAGCCAAATAAAATAGAGGAGAATTTTTTTAAAAAACTTATGGGTGTTAAGTTGTATACGCGATACTTGATTGAGACGTTTGCAGTCCTAAACTGTTCTTGGTCGGCATTCGACGTCGATCATTTAAACAAAAGCGGTGGTTATAATTACGCAACGCTTAACAAATTAAATTTACCACAAACTTACTTTAAACACGTGTACTTTGATCAGAAAAAATTGTTTTTGCCCAATGTTTTGGAGATCCGGTTAGATCCTGACAATCATAGCAGCAAATTAGGATACACGCGTATGTATTTTGAACACGATGAACGATACTTGAGAGCATTAATCATCCGTTACGCTGAGGACTTTCGTTCAGAAGTCTTAACACAAAGTCAAACAATAGTGTTCCAGAGCATATTCTTGACAGCTTTCAGCTTGATTAGTCTAATAATTGAAAAGTCCTTAAAGAATTGGAAAACAGTAAATTCAGACACAGAATCGGAAGTGAATAATGCCATAAATATATTAAAAGATTTTAATTTTCCTGGACTGTTACAAGCAAAATTGAGAAAAATTATATATCAGAGAATGTTAAGTTTAAACAGCTCTGAAACGTTTCACGACCTTTTCGAAGGCTCACAATTCGATAGTGAAGTATTTGAGGACAAATTGGAATACCTAACCGAATATCGAACGAAAATAAGCGTGGAAGCGTTAACGAATATTTTGAAACAATTAACGTACGATTTGAAAGCCTTAGGATCTGACATAATAATAGTTAAAAATATAAATCAACATTTGTGTGACTATGAATATGAAGAAGTGGGCTTCTTGCAATATGACAGTTCGTTGTTGAGGCCCGATTCACTTAGCACATGTACAGATTGTAGTCTATCACATGAAAAGCAAGTAATCCCAATTTTGCAATCGTTAAAAGAAAATAATTGTCAGTTTTCCTATGCTACTGTTATTCATTTTATATTAATTGATTTTATAATATTACAGTGCGAAGTGATTTTATATGATGTAAATAATTTGAATATGGTTACGTTATTAGGATCATGTTTTGACTCGATAATCAAATCTATCAGATCAATAGGAAAAACGATGGATCATACGTTGGTTGCTATGATAAACGTATTGATATCGACTAGGCCACATAACAATGCCAACCGCAAAGTTATTGACGCAATTCTAGCAATGAAACTATATCTTAGCAATGGAAATATTCATAATAGCGCGGTACCGCTAACGGAACAAGAAACCGTAGACGTGAATTTGGTGGTTACTAAATTGGATATGTTTAAAAGGTATAATCGTTTTATCACAACCCAAATAGAACATTACACGTTACATAGCTGCTCGACACAATCACCACGCGAGTATTTTACAAAAGAGACTATGACTAAGATAGATAATCAATGTAGCAAACTTGTAGACAGAAATGACATAATTGACCTCATAAAATGTGTTGAGATTATCATTGAAGATAATTTGAAAAAATATGAACCTCTTGTATCCCAAATCAAAGTAAATGATTTTACAGTTGACAATTTGTTAATGACGGATATTTTAGAAAAAGCTTCGAATATTGATAACAGTTTATCGATGCTACGTGTTATAAAAGTTTCATGGGAAGGCAATGCCATGAAGTTAACGGAAGTTGTTGATTTCGTGAGAAATCAGATCAACCCAAAATACCTTTGTAAATATCAACTGACCATGCTTAAAGCGATTGTTTTTATAGCCTATGAAATAATGAAAACAATTATTCAATCTACTGCATCAAGCGACAATTTCTTTCTTTATTGTTACAATATGAAAGAAATGCTGAAGGCATTTAATGTTATTAGCAGAGATTTTGTCCCGTTAAGAATATTCCGAGTTTATCAAATGATTGTTAATAATTTCAAAGAGTACTTCCAAAGTGACGCTTCGATTAATATAGATGCACTCATTCGTATAATTGAAGTAGAACAATACTATTTGGTGTCGCAGAAAGAGTCATCTGATGCAAAAGTCGATGAATTATTACATTCAAACGTAGATCTTTCATTAGGTACGACTTCTGAGTCACCGGATGTCGAAATGACCGATTCTTCTGGACTTTGGGAAATGGATGTCTACACGGCCGAAGGTCAAAAATATATTAACCACTTACTAACGTATTCGGTTAATGTTAAAGAAATTTGGTCCAATCTTACAAATGTAGCACTTGTGTTGGATTTAAAACGAATGAGCAATTTACAGGTCTAGTATTATAAAATACTTTGATTGATGTCATATTTTTAGGAAAATAAATCTGTTATAATATTTTCTTATATTTCACAGTGTTAAATAAATAATATAATATTAAATAATTTAATACCGTAAATATTTTTTTTTTTTTAGTTAATACATGTTAAGATAAAAAAATATAATCCAATGTTTCCCATGCAAATTTAAATATTTCTGGTACTGTTTGAAAATAATAAATAATTATAATAATGATAAATAATAATTGTATTTTTCTTGTATTTCTTAAAGTGGCATACTATTCATTAATCGGCTCATTAAATGTTATTTTTGTAAACAATAATACTACGGCAATACAAACTTAAATATTATCGACACACCGAGATAGGTATTTTACAATTTGCAGCATCTATTAGAATAAAATAGCTACACCACAAAGAATACGGTTTTTCAGAATTTTGAAATAAACTTGCCTAGTATAAAACAAATCTATGCTTTTTTACACAGCTCTTTGGTTGTTTTTTGTATATATAATAAACATACTATGTTCAAACTTAAATAAAGAAATATGGTTAGTATGAGGCCACAAAAACTGTTTTTGATCTGAACAAATTGTATATTTTAACAATAAAAAATAAGAAGTAGCGGGCATGTAGACTATATTTATATTTAACCTGGAAGACACCAAAATATGTTACTACATAAATTTGGTATCGTTCTCTAAAATATTTTGCTAAGACAGATTGAGCAATTGTCATCAGTCTCTTCATCTAAGATTTTTTTTTCATTCAAGGAAAGAAAAATATTAACTTACAACATAGTGGCACAATACGTTGTTTGTACCAGATTTTTCGTAATTTTTACCAGTCTTCTATTAAACTGTGCATTTTTTAAATATTAAAACTCCCAAAATATTCAGACAAAAATTTTAAATTTAAGTTAGACTTATGCCGAATGTTTTAACCAACAAAGCATAAACTAATTTGTAAGATAATACTGAATGTTAATATTTGCCAAATTAAAATACTATATTATGTACATTTGTTTAATTATAATTGTATTTAAATAAATTCTCCTCATATGTGCATGAAATACAATATAAGAATAAAAACGGTTTTTATTCTACAACTATAACTTTTAAGAACAGTAGAATATTCTGACGATAATGGGAGTACTGGGTCTAAGAAAAACAATTATATAGACGGCGATGAACACAAACGTATCTAAGAACACACGATGTAACTTTTACTTTGTGTCAAAATATATACAATAAAAAAATAGTATGTCAATTATTGGCTAAATATTAGTTAACAAACAAACTACTTTTAGCCAATAAAAATAATTTGACAAATATTAATTATTGGCCAAAACAAATATTGGAGTAAAATTAATTTTCAAAATGTTATTCTTAAATTGTTTGATTACAACATACAACTATGGCAGTGTTGGTGTTAAATTTGAGTAGTTTTATATTAACTGTAAAACTAGGTATAAAGTTAGATTAGGTTACTTAAAATTTCCATTTTGGTATCTTACTAACAGAAAATATTATATTATATATTTTTTAGACCTACATATTATAACGCCTAACATTTACTACACGCTTGATAAACAATAATATTTTATTTATTTACAAGTATACCAACGTAGTGTTTTTGTTTTCCGACAAAGTATAACATTATTTAATACATATTGAAATCGTTTCGTGGAAGTTTCGTTCAAGCAATAACTTCATAAACAGATGTTTTAAAACAGCGCACGTAGTAACACGAGTTTAAGTTTTTAGCCGACACGATTGTTTTTGTTATACAAACATATTCTAACGATATCGCTCATCAGATCTAAAACAGAGAAAAAAATTGGAGGGACGTCATATCAAAATGGTGACTTTGTTGATTATCCAGGTGATAACGTTATGTGTTACTTTTTTACTTCCGCCAGCTAAGTCGACAGGAGATAACGCGATGAGCTATAACGAATTAACTCAAATACCCGGTTTAAAAATTCTTAAAAATGTAAACATATGGCGAGAAAACGGAATCACGTCTCTCAGTAAAATGTTCGGTCCTAACCCTGAAAAATGGACTAGCGACTTGCACGTTATAGCCGAAATGTCTTTTACTGCGTTGTGTTGTTTGCATTCGTCGAAAATAATTACTTTCATACAAACGGCAGAAAATGATTTCACCGAATGTGAGAAGTTACTAGTTCAGATACAGAAACGTGTTTGAATAATGCTTTAAATATTTTAAAACATTTCAATTTTTCTGGATTGTTGCGCGTGAAATTGAGAAAAGTGTTGTACGAGGAAATCATTAATTCCAACAACGATAGAGCGTTTCATAAACTTTTTGAAGGTTCACAGTTCGCCGATTATGACATTAAAGAAAAATTGCTATGCATGACCGACTATAATAAAACAAGAAGCGTGGAATCGATGATAACAATTTTAAAACAATTAACAAACGAATTAAAAGCGTTGCAAACTGACATCAAAATAGTTCAAGAGATTAATCAAAATTTGTGCGATTACGAGTATGAAGAAGTGGGCTTTTTGCAATATGACAGTTCGTTGTTGAGGCCCGATTCACTTAGCACGTGTACAGTTTGTAGTCTAACACATGACACGAAGGTGATCCCAATTTTGCAATCATTAAAAGAAAATAATTGTCAGTTTTCATATGTTGTTGCTGTTCATTTTGTATTAATTGATATTATAATATCACAGTGTGAAGCCATATTAATTGATGAAAATAATTTGCAAATGGCAACGCTTTTACAATCATATTTCGACATAATAATAAAGTCTATCATGTCGATAGGTGAAACAGTAGACAATTCGTTGGTCACTATACTAGAACTATTGCAATCGACTAAGCCACATAACAATGCCAACCGCAAAGTTATTGACGCAATTCTAGCAATGAAACTATATCTTAGCGATGAAAATATTCTTAATAGCACAGTACCGCTAACGGAACAAGAAACCGTAGACGTGAATCTGGTAGTTTCTAAATTGGATATGTTTAAAAGATATAATCGTTTTATCACAACCCAAATCGAACAATACACACTACATAGTTGCTCGACACCATCGCCATGCAAGGAATTTATTAGTAGGACTGAAATTGTTGTAAATGTATACTGTAGCAGCGGTATGAAAAATAATGAAAAATCACAGCTAATAAAATGCATTGTCAAAGTCATCGAGGAAAATTTGAAAAACTATGAAGCTGTTGAATCCGAAATTAAAATAAATAATTTTACAATTGACAATTTGTTAATGAAAGATATTTTAGAGAAGGCTTCGAATAATAATAACAGTTTATCAATGCTGTATGAACTGAAATTTTCGTGGGAAGGCGATTACAAAAGATTAAATGAAATTGTCGGATTCGTGAACAATCAGATCAACCCAAAATACCTTTGTAAATATCAACTGTACATGATAAACGCCATAATTTTTATAGCATATGAAAGAATAAAAATAATTATTCAATCCAGTAACACATACAATTTCTCAATATATTGTAATAATATGGGTGCAATACTAGAAGCGTTAAATGTGATAAGCAATGATTTTGTCCCGTTAAGGGTATTGCTGGTTTATGAAATGATTGTTGATTATTTAAAAGAGTACTTTCAAAGTAAAGCTTCAATTGATACAAATGCATTTATTCGTATAATAGAAGTAGAACAATATTATTTGGGATTGCAAAAAGTATCGTCTGATACAATAGTCGATGAAATAGTGCAGTCAATTCCTGATGAAACATTAAGAACGATTTTCGAGTCTCCCGATGCCAAAAAGACTGAATCGTCTGGAATTTTGGAAATGGATTTTAAATGGACTGATGGTCAAGATAATATCGATCAATTACTATCATATTCATCTGCTGTTCAGGAAATTTTGACCAATTTGACAAAGGTTGCACTTGTACTGGATTTAAAACGAATGAGCGACATACAGATCTAATGGTTTGCATATTGTAAAAAAAATAAACCTTCCATATTGTCTAATAGATTCAATATTATATTCTAAGAATTTTATAATATTAATACTATTACGATTTTTTTAGTCTTTTTTTTTAAAATGTGTAATTCGGTAATATCTATGCAAATGAGTTTATTCACAACTATTGTACTATTTAAAAATAAATAATGATTTTATTTAGCTTCGAGTCCTTGAAGTTCGAATAATATCAAAAAGAAAAAAAAATATTAGTAACTTTTGTAACTATGTGATGAGAGGTGGTGGTTATGTGCACTTGATATTGATGTGTTAAATATATATGTTTCTTTGGCAATGTTTATGTCCTACTTTTGTCTCTGTGACGATCTAGATTATCTCTTTTCGGCCGACTGTATCTTCTTTGTAGAGTAAATTTAATTATACGCTTTAGTAAAAAACACTGCTAGTTAAATTATACTAGACTTCGAATGCATTATACTGTCAGTATTTAAATAAACGCTGTGTGTAAAGTAGGTTCAAACTTCAAACCAGTACAGTACAAACCAGGCACAGTATAACCAGCATAGTAAGAAAGTATTTTGCGTAAGTGAGTAGTAGTAGTAAATAAAAAAGTAAAGGCCATTCAGTGTACTCAAAAAAAAAAATACAAATTTGGACAAAAGCGTTGTGTCTTATGACAATTATATGTGCTTAAAAAAAACTTTTAGGAGTTCGGTTGAATACGATTATAGCTGATAATCGTTTGTCTATAAAAATGTATAAAGCCATAGTTACCTAACTATCATGTATTAACGATGTGATTAAAATATTTTCATTACCCGTTGACTGTTGATTCACTCACAAACAGTAAACTGGATATTGACTACGGCCAATGTATAGTATATGGTTCATTTCATGTTACAATATCATCTTTCTAAAATACAGTAAATCATGCGCTTTAATATCGCAAATTTCGCACATTAAACAGGACATAATATTATAATATTCATTATATTAATATAGAATATATTTTAAATTCGTTGACAATTATTCACAACCTATTTTTTAA